TGGTATTTTTTTTTTTTTAAATGTCTGAATTTGAATGCCTTAGGTAGAAAAAGCATTTTCTAATTTTATCAGTCTCCACTAACCCTATTATTTCTATCTATGTGTACTCATGTATACTATCTGCTTGGATTCTATTCTTTTAATATGTAATCCAGAATTGAATGAACTACATGTGCAAGAACTTCGAGGAAAACATGAGGGTGAGCATAGAGAGCAATGTCATCTGGCCTGAGCATAGGTTTTCATCAATGGTACCATGGTGAGTAGTTGTTAAGGACCAAATTATGAATGATATTTTTTCCACTTTACTTTTATCCTCCAACTCTCTCATATCTTTCATGAAAATCTGATTTGTATAAGTTGGCCACAGACCAAGGGAGTGGGGTTAAAGAGTGATTTATGGGGCTGAGTCCTTAGAAGGGAGGTCCTGAAATTTCAAACTTGCAATTCCTTGAGAGATTACCAGTACACACAGTCACAAAAGTAATTCTTCTGAGCTTGGAGAAGGAATCATGGTGCAGTAGTGAGTAATCGAGTATTGCTGTGACCACTGAATGATGTTTGTATAGTACTCCCCCCTTGTGAGGATGGGTAGGGGAGATACATTCCAAGACCCCTATTAAGTGCCTTAAACTGTAGATAGTATTGAATCCTATATGTGCTATATTTTGCCTATACATATACACCTATGATAAAGTTTCTAAAGTAGTTACATTAAGAGATCAACAACAATAATAAAATAGAACCATTATAACAATGTGCTGTAATAAAAATTGTGGGAATGTCGCATTATTAAGTAAAATAAGAGTTACTTGAAAAGAAGCACTGTGACTTTGCGACTGTGATCTGATAACTGGGGTGGCTAGTAATTAACTTATGAGCCAGTCATGTATATAGCTTGGATACACTGGACAAAGAAATGATTCATATTCCTGGCATGATGGAGCAGGATGGTGTGAGATTTCATTACATTACTCAGAATAACATGCAATTTAAAATTTTTGAGTTGTTTATTTTTTGGAATTTTCCATTTAATATTTTGAGGCCATGGTTGAGGGTAACTGCAACCCTGGAAAGCGAAACTACAGATAAGGGAGTATACTGTAGTACACTTTTATAGGACAGTGGAAACATGGTGTTTTATCATTAATTTAAAAAAATTAATTAATTTTTGTTACAGATGTTTCCCCTTTCCCTCCCAGACACCCTCCTCCTTATCCCGCCAATCCCCCCTCTCCCACAAACATTGTTGTCTATGTCCATTGGTTATGCATATATGCATATAAGTTCTTTGGTTTATCTCATCCCTGCCCCTTGTCCCCCTCCTCTGAAGTTTGTCAGTCTGAACCATACTTCTTTCTGGGTCTCTGGGTCTATTTTGTTCATCAGCTTTTTTTGTTCATTATATTACACAAATAAGGGAGATCATGTGGTATTTGTCTTTCTCTGATTGGCTTATTTTGCTTAGCATAATGCTCTCCAGGTCCCTACATGTCATTTCAAAGGATAAGAGATCTTTCTTTCTTTCAGCTTTATAGTGGTCATTGTGTATATATACCACAACTTTTTTATCCACTCATCAATTGATGTATCCTTGGGCTGTTTCTAGATCTTAGCAATTGTCAATAGTGCTGCTATGAGCATAGGGGTACATATATTCTTTCTTATTGGTGTTTCAGGCTTGTTAGGGTATGGAGAAAAGGGGACTGTAGTACACTGCTGGTGGGAACACAGACTGGTGCAGCCACTATGGAAATTAATATGGTGTTTCCTCAAAAAATTAAAAATTGAACTGCCATTTGACCTAGTGGTCCCACTTCTAGGAATAAAATTTTTTAAGGGTCAGGGGAAGAGTAGAAAGGTGCAATCAGTTTGCTTTGGGTATGTATAAGATTGTTTCCTGGGATGCCTAATAAGGCCCTTTGGCCACTTTGGGGAGTGGTTGCTTCTTTTCTTCCAATGGATTTTTGAGTTTTTATTTCCCTACACTCTTAATAGAACTGATTAGTTCTTATTCTTTAGGTGTTTACCTATTAGCACAACTATCCCTCCTTTGAAAGATTGTCTCTGACCATCCTATCTAAAAAGTAAGTTAGTGCTACCATAATTATGTTCTTTAGTCTTTTATTAATTTCTATCTCAACATTCATCAATTTATAATTATTTTGTCTAGCTACATTTTTGTAGTAATATACCCCAGAATACCCTCAGGGAATGTAAATTCCTCAGTGACTATGAATTCAGAATCTAGTTCCATGAAAGAATGGATGTTCAAATAAATATTTGTAAATGAATAAATAAATGACTGGAATACAAATGAAGAAAAAAATACCATGAGTATTGATGAGAGAGTGTACCACAGATTCCTATGCCAGATGGGGGATGTGGAAGATGTTTCTCTAATGTGTATTGTAACAGAAATCCTGTGTACTAGCAACAGGGGAAGTCTCATAGATATTAGATTTAGATATCTGGTGAAAGTTTTACACTGCTAAAATAGAACACTGATTCTTTTAAAAATTATATAATTAATACATTTGCAGGTAAAAAACCTAAATGACAGAAAAAGCTATAAAAGGAAAGCAAAACTTTTCCTTTCCTATAATTCCAGTTTCAGTTAATCACTATTAATACATTCTTATATGTCTTTTGAGAAATTATATATCTATATGATTGTTTTGTTTATCTGTCTCTATCCAATTAACTAATTATATACTTGTTATTTAAACCATTGCAATTATAAAATTGCTATTTACAATTTTCATTTAATATGTCTTGGCTATCTTTTTATGTGAACACATAAATATATAACTCTTATTTTTTTCTAATTTTTTTTTTTCCTTTATTGATTTCAGAGAGAGAGGAAGTGAGAGGGAGATAGAGAAACATTGATGAGAGAGAACATCAACTGACCACCTCCTGCATGCCCCCTACTGGGAATTGGGCCCACAACCTGGGCATGTGTCCTGACCAGGAATCAAACTGGCGACCTCTGGGTGCATGGGTCGACGCTCAACCACTGAGCCACACTGGCTGAACTATAACTCTTTTTAAAAGTTGCATACTACTTATTATTGAAGTTTCATTTTATTAGCATTTTTCTCCTATCTTAAAAACTTTCTTTAGCAGATGTTTTAGAGCAAGTGTGCTGGATACAAATTCTCTTAGTTTCCATTCTTCTGAGAATGTTATTTCATTTCCATTGCTGAAGGGTATTTTCACTGGATATAGGATTCTGGGTTATAATGGGTTTTTTTGTTTTTTATCTTTCAACATGTTAAAATTTCTTGTTAATGTCTTCTGGCTGATGTGGTTTCTGATAAGAAATCCATAGTCATTTGAATTATTGCTCCCTTATAGGTAATGCATCATTTTTCTTTGGTACCCTCATTCATTCACTTTGTTCAGTTACAACTGTGAAGTTTTCAGTTTTTCTTTCTTAAAAAGTTTTTTTTAAGCACCATTTTTTTCTTCTATCTGAGACTCTTATGATGATATTAATGTTAAACCTATTGCTATTGTTACTGTTAATTTTTTAAAAATATTTTTTCTACTCTTTTGTTTATATTGGATAATTTCTAATGGTCTGTATTTAAGCTCACTGACTCTTCTCTGTCATGTACAGTCTGCTATTTTTTATTTTGGTTATTAAATTTTTTAGTTCTAAAATTTCCATTTGATATATATATAATTTTCATTTGATAAATTTCTGTTTGATATGTATATGATACTTTCTATTTTAATATTCTTTTGAAGAGTGTCATTATTTGAGCATTTTTATAACAACTGCTTTAAATACTTTGTAAGATAATTTCAATATTTGCACCATTTCACCTCAATGTATATTGAATGTCTTCCTTTGTGAGTTGAGATTTTTGTGGCTTATCATATGCTGAGTAATTTTGAATTATATCGTGGATATTTTGCATATAATGTTATCAGACTTTTGGTTATTTAAATCATATGGGGAATGTTGATATATTTGTTTTAGCAGAAATTTGACCTAGTTAGGTTCAGGCTGTGAGTTCAAACTGACTTCCATTGGCTCTGGTTCTAATGGCAGTTCAGTTTTAAAGTTTTTCATTGCTATATGAATTTGTCTTACATATACATCACCCAGTGGTCAATCAGGGACCTGGGCTGAGGTCTCTGTTAGTTAGATTTTCAAAGTCTTTGATACACTAATGAAGGTCAAATCCTCACATGTGTAGATAGAGGCTGAGTCCAGGAGTTCATAAACAATTTCATAGGATTGCTTTCCAGACCTTTTTTCTTCACTGCCTCCTCAGCTCTTTCTGGTTTCTTTAACCCCTCTTTATGATCCTCAGACCAGAAACTGTTGGGTGGCCCAACCAAGAGAGAAGAAATAAAAGCAAAGGTTTTGGTGTTCCACCAAGTAGACATAAAATTTTCTCTTCCTTATAGTTTTGGCTTCTACTTTTATATTACTAGCAACTTTCACTGCTACCACTCCACCACTTCCACCTCTCTTTGGCAGCTTTGCCTCTTGACTGGGGCATGAGACAATAACAACAACAGAAGAGAAAACAAGCCTGTGGAAAATTTCCTCATTCTTTTTGAGCTATAATTTCCTTTCCTGCTCCTTGAGCAATAATTAGAAGTTTATTGCTAGATCTCTCTGTGTCTGTACCACACTGCTCACTGGGGCTGTATTGAATATAGACCAGGGAGCACTGGAGGAAAACAAAATGGCAAACTCACTAGCAGTTTGATAACACTTTACCACCTGGTGTTACTTCCTGATTTATCTGCTGATATTTACTTACAGATTCAAATAGCTGCACCATGCATTCTGTCCAGGTTTTATGGTTATATTCATTGAGAGAGAAAGTTGGCTCGTGTTTAACTCACCTTATCAGTTGTTAGAACTTCATTCTATTCTTCATTGTTTATAATTGCCTATTTATAATGTAATGTTTTACTCTCAATTTGTTTTCTTTGTTCTTCTTACACACTTATCATTTTTTATATATTTTATTTTATTTTTCTTTAATTGGCCATCGGAACAGCAAGATGTGAGGTTTTGGTTCATGGATCATATAATGGACCCATCCCTTACTCTGTTGAACAGCAAGATTCCTCCATTCAGATTCAGACATCAAATGGGTTTTAGGGACCAACTTGGCTATGTTCTTGGGCAAAATAACATGCCGGTACTCGAACTCCTCATCGTTGTATTTGTCCGAATAGTAAATTTGTTTGTGCGAAATGATCGCTCTATGATAGTAAATAGTAACCATAAATTCACTAACCCATAACTTTTAGCCTAAGCTTTACTTTGAGGATTTTTCTCATTAAATCTTGTTTTCATTACAATGAAGGTTACCTAAATTGAATTATCACAAAGAACCCAAGAAACTCCTGAAATTATATTTTGACAGACAATAGTATTTTAAAGTTTTTAGGTGGCCATTGCCATATATTTTCAGTAGACTGTACAGTATCCTGTGTGCTGTAAAATGCATAATACAATGTCACCTAATACCCGTAAATACCTTTATATATGTTTTTTAACATTAACTTTCTTTTTTATTAATTAATTTTTGTTACAGATGTTTCTCCTTTCCCCCCCACTGATTTCCCCCTCTCCCTCCCTCCCTGCCCTGTCCCCAGCTTTGTTGTCCATGTCAATTGTACATACATACATGCATATAAGTTCTGTGGTTTATCTATCCCCCACCACCTCTTCTTATGGGGATTGTCAGTCTGTACCCCACTTCCACGTCTCTGGGTCTGCCCCATTCCTCAGACTGTTATGTTCATTATATTCCACCAATAAGTGAGATCATATGATACTTGTCTTTCTCTGTTTGGCTTGTTTCACTTAGGATGATACTTTCCAGGTCCCTCCATGCAGTCTCAAAGGATAAGAGATCTTTCTTTCTTACTGCTGTCTAGTACTCCATTGTGTATATGTACCACAGCTTTTTTATCTATTCGTCTACTGATGGACACTTGGGCTGTTTCCAGATCTTAGCTATTGTAAATAGTGCTGCTACAAACATGGGGGTACATATATTCTTTCTGATGGGTGTTTCAGGCTTCTTAGGGTATATTCCTAAAAGTGGGATCACTGGGTCAAATGGCAGTTCAATTTTTAATTTTTTGAGGTAACACGATATTGTTTTCCATAGTGGCTGCACCAGTCTGCATTCCCACCAGCAGTGTACTAGAGTCCCCTTTTCTCCACACCCTTGCCAACACTTGTTGTTTGATGATTTGTTGATGGAGGCCATTCTGACAGGTGTGAGGTGATACCTCATTGTTGTTTTAATTTGCATCTCATTGATGATTAGTGATGTTGAGCATTTCTTTATATGTCTCTTAGCCATTTGTATGTCCTGTTTGGAGAGGTGTCTATTTAGTTCCTCTGCCCATTTTGTAATTGAGTTGTTTTCCTTTTGTTGAGTTGTATGAGCACTCTATATATATTGGAAATGAGCCCCTTATCTGATATATCATTGGCATTTATGCTCTCCCATACAGTGGGTAGCCTTTCCGTTTTGATGATTGTATCTTTCACTTTTTAGTTTGATGTAGTCCCATTTGTTCATTTTCTCCTTTGTTTCTATTGCCTTAGGTGATGTATCAATACCGTTATATTTTTTATTTGTGAATATGTTGGTGTGAAAGAAGGTGATAGTTTGTTAGCACCTGGAATAAAAAGGTACAATATATAATAAAAATAAAAAGACATGCCCTAATTTGTATGGCTTAGTTGTTAGAGTACCGGCCTGCATACTGAAGGGTCAAGGGTTCAATTGCCAGTCAAGGTCATGTATCTGGGTTGCAGGTTAGATCCCCAGCCCTGGTCAGGGCACGTATGGGAGGCAACCAATTGATATGTCTCTATCAACCAATTGATAGGCAATCAATGTTTCTCTCTCTCTCTTTCTACCCCCCTCTCCTCCCTTCCATTCTCTCTAAAAATTAATGGAAAAAATATCGAGTGAGGATTAACAAAAAATAAAAGTACATCATACAGTATTTGTGTTGTCCAGGTTGTGTGGTTAAAGGATGACAAAAGGAGGGGGAATACAGGTGTGTAAACAAAAATTTATCATAAAAATTGAAGGGTGCTCCAATATATGTATACCTAGTCATTAATTTCTTGACGGCAAGGTCCATGATTATTTCTTCTTTTTTAACATTAAAATTATTATGCCCAGCTGGTATGACTCAGTGGTTGAACATTGACCCATGCACCAAGAGGTGGCCAGTTTGATTACCAATAGGGCATGTGCCCAAGTTGTGGGCCAAATCCCCAGTGAGGGGCAGGCAGGAAGAAGCCAATTGATGTTCTTTCATCAATGTTTCTATCTCTCTCTCCATTATTCTCTCTAAAATCAACAAAGAAAAAAATTTTTAAAATAATAAAATTAAACTTATTGCATGACATTGGTTAATAGGATCATATAAATTTCACATGTTCATTTTTATGATACATGATCTGTATATTGCATTGTGCTCCCACCATCCAAAATAAAATATTCTGTCATCATATATTTGGCCCTCTTTACTCTTTACCTCCTTCCCTCTGTTAACCACCATAATGTTGGCTGTGTCTATGAGTTTCAGTTTTATATCACACATATGAATGAAATTATATGGTTCTTGGCTTTTTCTGACTGAGTTATTTTGCTTAGCATAATATTCTCAGGTTTATCCATGTTGTCGCAAATGGCAGTATTTCATCTTTTCTTCTGGCTGAGTAGTATTCCATTGTGTATATGTACCATATCTTTTTTATCCATTTCTCTATTAAAGAACACTTTGGTTGTCTCCATGTCTTGGCCACTGTGAATAATGCTGCAATAATCATAGTGCATATATCTGCAAATAAATGTTTTCAAGTTTTTTGGATAGATGCCTAGAAGAGGGATTGATGGGTAATATGGTAACTCTATTCTTAATTTTTTGAGGAACTGCCATACTGTTCTCTATAGGGGCTATACCAGTTTACATTCCTACCAGCAGTGAATGAGGGTTAATTCTTCTCCACATACTCTCCAACACTTGTTATTATTTGCTTTGTTAATAATAGCCATTCTAACAGGTGTGAAGTGGTATCTCATTGTATTTTTATTATTATTATTATTTTTATTTATTAATTTGTTTTTTGGTACAGAAGTTTATCCTTTTTCCCCCATTGACACCTTTCTCCGATTTCCCCCTGCCCCCTCCCCAACTTCGTTGTCTGTGTTTATTGGTCATGCATATATGCATGTAAGTTCTGTGTTTTATTACTCCCCCCTAACCCCCCTCCTCTGAGGATTGTCAGTCTATACCCCACCTCTGTGACTCTGGGTTTATTTTGTTTATCAGTTTGTTTAGTTTACTATATTCCACAAATAAATAAGATCATGTGATATTTGTCTTTCTCAGCTTGGCTTGTTGGCACTTAGCATAATACTCTCCAGGTCCTTCCATGCTCTCTCAAAGGATAAGAGATCTTTCTTACAGCTGCAAGCTATCTCATTGTGTATATGTACCACAGCTTTTTTATCCACTCATCTACTGATGGACACATGGGTTGTTTCCAGATCTTAGCTATTTTAAATAGTGCTGCTATGAAAATAGGGATACATATATTCTTTCTAATTGGTGTTTCAGGCTTATTAGGGTATATTCCTAAAAGTGGGATCACTGGGTCAAATGGTAGTTCAATTTTTAACTTTTTGAGGTAACACCATAGTGTTTTTCCACAGTGGCTGTACAAGATGCATTCCCACCAGCAGTGTACTAGAGTCCCCTTTCTCCACACTCTCACCAACACTTGTTCAATAATTTGTTGATGGTGGCCATTCTGACAGATGTAAGGTGATACCTCATAGTTGTTTTAATTTGCATCTCTCTGATGATTAGTGATGTTGAGCATTTCTTCTTATGTCTCTTGGTCATTTGTATGTCCTTTTTGGAGAGGTGTATATTTAGGACCTCTGCCCATTTTTTAATTGGGTTCTTTGTCTTCCTTTTGTTGAGTTGTGTGAGCACTCTATATATTTTGGAAATTAACCCCTTATCTGATGCATCATTGGTGATTATGGTGTCCCATATAGTGAGATCCCTTACCATTTTGATGGTTGTTTCTTTTGCTGTGCAGAAGCTTTTTAGTTTGATGTAGTCCCATGTGTTCATTTTCCCCTTTGTTTCTCTTATCTTAGATGTTGTATCAGTGAAAATTCTATTGTGTATGATGTCTGAGATTTTGTTGCCTACTGTTTCTTCTAGAATTTTTAAGGATTCACGAGTTACATTTAATTATTTTATCCATTATGAGTTTATTCTCATGTTTGGTGTTAAGTTGGTGTTCTAGCTTCATTTTTTTTTTTTTTGCAAGTAGCTGTCCAATTTTCCCAACACCATTTATTGAAGAGACTGTCTTTATTCCACTGTATGCTCTTGCCACCTTTGTCAATTATTAATTGAGCATATTGTCTTGGGTCAATTTCTGGTTTCTTTAGTCTGTTCCATTGATCTATCTGCCTGTTCTTGTGGAAGTACCAGGCTGTTTCGATTACAGTGGCTTTGTAGTACAACCCTGAAATCTGGTAATGTGATCCCTCCTACTTTGTTCTTTGTTTTCAAGATTGCTGTGGCTATTTGGGGTCCTTTTTGGTTCCATATAACTTCTGGTGTGTTTGTTCTAGTTCTGTGAAGTATGTTGTTGGTATTTTGATGGGGATTGCATTGAATCTATAGATTGCTTTGGGTAGTATGGACATTTTAATGATGTTAATTCTTCCATTCCAGGAGCAAGTTATGTGCTTCCACTTTTTTATATCTTCTTCTGTTACTTTTTTCAATGACTTGCAGTTTTCTGTGAAGAGGTCCTTTACTTTTTTGGTTAAATTTATTCCTACCTATCTTAATGTTTTTGCTGAGATGGTAAATGAGATTGTTTTTTTTGTTTCTCTTTGTGTGATTTTATCATTGGTGTATAAGAATGCTGTTGATTTCTTGACGTTAATTTTGTAGCCTGTTATTTTGCCAAATTCATTTATTAAGTCTAATAGATTTTTTATGGAGTCTTTAGGGTTTTCTATGTTCAATATCATGTCATCTGTAAATAATGACAGTTTCACTTCCGCCTTTCCAATTTGGATTCCTTTTATTCTTTCTTCATGTCTAATTGTTGTGGTAAGAGTTCCATTACTATTTTAAATAAGAGTGGCGAAAGTGGGCAACCCAGTCTTGTTCTCATTCTTAGGGAGAAATATTTTAGGTTTTCCCCATTGAG